TGGGGGGTTGGCGTTGCGGTGTACAAGGTCGCAAGTACATTTCAATTAGCTAATGCAACTTGGAGTACCTTATGTTCCGACATTAACTGTATCGGCAATTAAGATCCGCCCGTTGTATCAATGTGAACTGAGGTGGTGTGATATTATGTTGTAAAATTAGAAGACCTCATAAATAATGCTCTCGGTGGTCGGCATTTTGTTAACATATTCTGATCAAAATAGTTATTAAGGAGTGATCATAAATGGCTCCGAGTGGTATTGGATGGTGGCACTGGGTTGGCATTTTTATCATCAAAACAGTATAAATTAAAAGGCGATTTGAGTGGATATTTGCAATTTGCTAACAACTTTTGAGTCGAGTTGTATCTCTTATATTATACATACTAAGGCAGGGCAGGGCAGGGCAGGGGGAATCTGGTAGTCCTGCGTTTCCATGTACGTAATGGAAGACGTCAGAGGTTTATTTGACTTACGTTTTTAATATCTTAAATGATTGCTTGTGTGACAAAGGATTCAGTTTGAAAGCAAATGAAAGAGCAGGAGAAAACACACAGCGCGAAATCCGATGTTAATTTTTGATCCAATAATCTATCTAATTTTGCTCTGACAGAGAGGCGACAGTTAAAGCAATTTCATCACTTTCGCCTACTTATCTAATTATCAGTTTCGCCCAACAAGATACGACGGGTAACGTAAACCTTGTTTATTTCTTTTTCTTATCTAAAACTGTATGGTTCACCAGCACCTTAGGTGTAGGAATCCTCAACAACTTCCACATATATGGACATACTAGCTAAGGAGTGATGTATTTCTGCAGCTGGAGTAGCCTGTCTGAGAAGTTCATCTTATAATTCAGAAAAACGATTTATTTTTCTTCACGTAGCAGACATAACATAACAACTTAAAGAGATAATAATAAACTTGGTCGACTTGTTGGGAAAAAGTCAAGGATTTCCATATCATTTTACTTAGTGCCGGCTCAAGGGTAAAGCTAGTAAAGCAATGGCGTTAGGCCTCCAAAATTTTAAGGCCCCATTTTCAAAATTAATAATAGGTTCATTTTATGGTAATTTTCTTTCTAAAAATAAAATTTATTCTAATATCAAGTTATCAATTTCTACTATTTTTTTTTTCTATTTCTACCTTATAGTAGTAATATTCCTTTGTTATTTATCAGAATTCTACTATGGCAAGTTGGCAACTATAAAGCATGAATTAGGTTATTTAATATTTTTTTTATGTTCAAGGCTCTTAATAGACCTTAGCCCCCCAATGTTCTTGAGCCGCCTCTAATTTTACTCTAACACTATGGTTTGTGATTAATACGAGCGATTTCTCTTATTTTTTTTTTAAAACTTTTTTCCATAACATAAGATGAATGGGAAGAGACATGGGCGNATATATATATATATATATTGAATCTTTTTGGCTTCTACGTAAATTTATTACTTTATATTTTAACTTCCCTTAATAAAAATTTTGGATCCGCGCTTCTGTGGAAGAGTTTCATTTCTAAGCTATACGCGTCGGTAAAAAAACAGATTTTAAGTATGGGTAAATTGATAGAAACAAAAGGGCATTTTGTGTGGTGAGAGTTGCTTATGATATTACCAATTATTAAATCAAAAAATGATTTGTTAGTTGAGTAATGTTATGAACTAATACAGTTGTTGGAAATCGAATATATTAAGCAGGCAAATTATAGCAGTGGGGTTGGTGATTGCAGTTTTGATTCTGCTGATTTATGATCCATAGTTTAATTATGTGTAAGTGTTTTGCTCTACCAATCAAATAAAAGTATAATTAACGTAAAAGTCAAATCTTGGCTTTCATAACCCGACAAAATAAGTGAGGACTAATAATTGAGTAATGGATATAATGGGAATATTGGAGAAAGCAAACTCATTCAACACCCCAAATTAATAAACGGAAAAGTGATATATATGCTGGTGAACTATGCGAATTAGGATATATATGCTCGTTGTTAATAGTTTGGCATAAATATGCCTAATCCGTCCAATACTTGCTCATTCATGCCCTTAGTTTAATGTAGCCACTATTTTGTCTTTCTTAAATAATTAATAACCTGACCCAACCAAAATCTGCTGATCCGATCTATTAGGACCCGACTCACCCTTATTTCAAAGATATTTTTTGATATATTATTTTTTTTAATTGAGAAATTGTTTGATAATCATATTTATTTATTTGAGTAATTTGATAATCGATTTTTTTTTTGTTATACATCATTTCGGGAAGTAATCCTACTAATAATTGATATTTATTTATTATTTTAATAATATAATATTCGAACTAATTTGTGCTTTCTTCAATCATTTTATTATCTATTTTTGTTTTTCTCACAATCTATTTGTATTTTTCACCAATACAAATACAAATAACTCCATGTTACTATAACTTAACGTGATGAATCTGTTTTTGTTATTTAGATAAGTGATCATTATATGATTGATTATTAGTTTATTGAATTATTTTCCGCATTACAAATTTATTATGAAATAATAATAAATTGTTAAAATAGTGGTGCTTCTTTTCTATTTTTATTAATTAATTATTTCATAACAAGCACCGCTATTAAAACAATGTGTTTCTTTTCCATTTTTATTAATTAATTTATAACAAGCAGCACTGTGAAAAATGCGAAAAATAAATAGATGGTAAAATGATTGAAGAAAGTACAAACTAATTTGAATATTATATTATTAAAATAATAATAAATATCAATTACTACTTTTAGTAGGATTACTTCTCGAAATGATGTATACCAAAAAAAAATTAATTATCTAATTACTCAAATAAATAAATATGACTATCACACAATTTCTCAATCAAACAAAATTAATATATCAAAAAATATCTTTGAAATAAGGGTGGGTCGGGTCCTAACGGATGGGGTCAGCAGATTTTGGTTGGATCCGGTTATTAATTATTTAAGAAAGACAAAATAGTGGTTCTGATAAATTAAGGGCACGAATGAGCAAGTATTGGACGAATTGGGCATATCTGTGCCAAACTATTAACTACGGGCATATTTGCCCTAATTCACATAGTTCACTCGTATATATGACCCTTTTCCGATTAATAAATAAAAAACCATGATTTCCTTAATCCTTTTTTGCTTATGCGATTAAATCTTGTAAGCACAAAAGTAAGACAAAGTAATAAGATCTCAAGTAATAATTACTGCTGCATGGGTCAAATTTGTTTCATCGACATCATATTCTTGACCATGTTAAAACGGGGAGCTACAATTTAATTCATGAGATAAGCTATATGAATAAGTTGGATCCACTTAGGGTGTGTTTGGTATAAAGGAAAATGTTTTCCGTGGAAAATATTTTCTTGAAAAACAAGTAGTAATCTTATTCATTTTTCAGTGTTTGGTATGCAAATTAAGGAAAATGATTTCTCAAGAGTATTCATAAATAATTTAGATATAATAAACGTGAAGCCATAAACTTTCAAATCAACAACCTTCCGAACCCACAAATTTCATAAACTTTCGAACTGTTAAACTTTCAAAACCGCGAAATTTCGAACTCGTAAACTTTATAATTTCTAAACCCGTAAAATTTCAAACACATAAACCTCCGAACTCATAATTTTGGAACTTGTAAAATTTTGACCGGGGGGAGGGGGGGAGGTTGGGTTGGGTGGTGCAGAAAAACGAAAAAACTGAAATTTAGTAGGGTGGGTGGTAACGGAAACTGAAATTTAGAAAAAAAAAACCTTTTTTGAGAGAAGGGGTGGGGTGGGTTGGTGAGGTTGTGGAAGGTTGAGAAGGAGTTTTGGAAAATGTTTTCCCTTCTCTTGATAAGGAAAACATTTTCCTCCAATTGGAGAAAAAAATTGGAGAAAAATGAGTTCATGAGGAAAATATTTTCCAAAACATTTAAGCCAACCAAACTAGTCTGGATGGACACATCTCAACAAAATAGTGTTCAGAAGATTCACTAAAGTTAAATTATTTTATGATTCAGTTGTCAAATTTCGTACAAGCAAATTTATCTATTAGTACACACTAGAAAGAAAAAATGGAGACTATAGTAAGAAGTAAGAGAAAGAACTTCAAGAGGATGAGTGCAATATTGTGAAGATGTGGATCTTAATTTATATTTGACTGGTTTAATTTTAGTTTCTTACCATGATCCACCATACTTTTAAAATTGTAGGTTCAAAATTATATTCTTTTTGAAATTTTAGTAATTTGCACATATATATTTAGACGTCATGCTGAAAACAAGACCGTTCCGAGTGGATTTGAACTGATAATTTCACTTGTAGAGGTGTATCCAATAACAATTGCATCATAATAGTCTTTGAGTATGAGTTCACATATATATATTTAAATAATTTTAAAGAAATATAATATTTTTATATATGATTTAGGAAGAGTCACGTGAACTCATGTCCTCAGCTCGGAAACCCCTCCATATATAGTGACGGTCTTACATTTTTAATGCAAAGTTGACGCAGTTTGGGATGCAAATTAGTGTTTTCAAATTCACATGGGTTGGTCCACAAAAAGTAAGCGACCCACACATTCCATTCCCTAATTTCTCTTTTATTCTCATAATAATATAATATAACTAATTTATATATATTTACAGTATAATAATTTTTTAAAAAACCATGTAATAATAGTTTCATCTAATCAACACTATTAGATATAATTACATACAATTACTTCCAACGGCTTAATTATAAAAATATATTTTACATCAAGGGCTTAAAAATCAATACTTGAATTCATTTTTTCTCCGATCCCTTTTACTTGTCATGTTTTCTTTTGCATGTTTTTAAAGAAATATTAATCAAAAAGATAATTTAACTGAATCGTTTTTATTTGTTCTTTAATCTAAATTTGTTACGTACTCTTGCTTTTATTATATTTATAAAAAAAATTAATTAATACTTTCTAGACTTTCTAAAATAATAATTATTTGTAGTAATTATGAGTGTGAAAAGAACATGAGCGAATATAATAATAGTATGTACCAATTTCCATATATATCTTCCATTCCCAAAATACACCTCAATACACCTAATACCAAATTGCACAATTTTAACATTTTCATACTTTTTCTCACAAAAATTTCTTCTCTCTCTCGCTCCGTTCCAGTGAAGAAATCTTCTTATTGTTTTTGGGATTCATGTCGGTATGTATATATATGCCCTAATTCGATATTTAAATCCTTTCGGTTACTGGTTTATTTTCACTTAATTTCATATTACAGTACGTTATATGATGTTATATGTATTGATTATTTATCTATACCTGTACAAGGCTTTTAGTTATGTTTGTTTTGATTTTATTGGGGTTTTATGTTACCTGGGTTTTCATTGATCGCTTTATCTGTTCTAAATTTACACTTGATTTTTTTTTTTGGATCAAAAATCTTGACTTCCAAGCAGATCCTGTATAATGTATGGTTTTGTTGCATTTTGATACTCAGCTGCAACTCGAAATTAATTTTTAATTCTCGTATGACTTTCGATGCTTAAGCCAAGATAAAATCCCCATCGCCCC